ACGTCTACAGGCCCAGCCTGGCGGGAAAGCCGCTCATCCCAGGAGCCCGTAGAGGAGGGCTCTTTCCTATATCACTCTTGGATCCAGTGCAATATATCTATTCTTAAAAAAAAAAAGAAGAAAATCATCAATTAATACCAAATGTTTGCATCTGAAGTGCTCTATTGAACCCACTCCTATCCATTTGCAAAACAAAGGCAAGCATATGTTAGCAATGAAGCATACAGCAGAAAAGACTATTCCCAAACTCACACAGAGAATCTTTCTTTGGAAAAAGCACTTTGCTCTCCTTCCTTCAGACCCCGACAAAGTTGGTTCTTAATTCAAAAGCTGCAGGCAGTAGGTTGTACTGTCTTCCTTTTAGTTTCTCCAAGATCCCAAGGTGAAGAGGTTTTAAAGAAACATGATGTATCTTCTACAGTCAATAACACCCTCAAGAATAGAGAGCTCTGTTCTGCTCCTCCACTTTCATTTGGAAGATCTACCTGAGTACTGCCAAACCAAATCCAACTGGGACCATAGAACAGCACAAGGAGGAGCAGCAGCATGTGAAAGGTGGAAAGAGGAGCCTTCTGAAATTGCTTCAGACTTTTCTGGGATGTTAAGTGACACCTCAGGACAACAAATACAACAAATAGGAGGCAGCTAATGCAGGTGCAGAACCGCACAGGGCCGATCAGGGCTTTGGAGTCAGGCAGGCTGCAGGCACAGCTTTGAGTTGCTTTGAAATATTTCTCTGCTTTGATTTTCTTGCTGATGGTAAAACAAACTACCAAAAACTCTTAATAAAAGAACAAGCAGAAGCCAATAATTCATGTCTTTTAAGTGATTACACAGACGCAGCAGCTGTCGCTGAGGAAGTCTCACACCCACAGTGGTCTTCATTTCCCCACATAAAACAATAAAAACACAATGTCTTTTCCACATTACCACTACACAGAAGACACTTCTGTCCGCACACATGGGCTCTCGCCCTTAAAGTTCATGGAGCAGCTCCCACCAACTTCAGTGCTCTTGAGAGCAGGTCCTCACCTGCTACCCGGATTTACCCCCATGTTTTCAAGACTTTTCAAAACCAGACTATTTGCTCAGTCTCTTCTCTAAGAGGCTTCTAAGGTCAACTCCCCTCCTCCTCCTCACGGAGGCAAGCTTCAGTCCTCGCCCTGCAGCTGGGAAGAAGAGTGTTTTTGAAGAGAGCTGGGGTCCAGCTTTGCCTGACAGCTCAGGAGGGTACAGAACTCTGCAGGAGATGTACAGTTTGTAACACAGTGAGCAGCACATATGAATAGTACAAATAACACAGCAAAAACCACCCAGTTTCTTGGGCAAACTAAGACCCTGATTTAGCAATCCTTGCAAGAAGATCTGAGCCGAGTTAGAGCTTCTGGACTCCAGTAAAGCCCAGGTAATATTTATCAGCTTTGATTTCCAACCTCCCACATTTTGATATCTCAACCAGTGAACTTTGGTTCCAAGTTTTATTTTTGCCCTGCTTTTTAAAGTCTTGAATGGGGGTAACAGAGTTTTGGCCTCAGAACTACCCTGCCTGGAAAACAGCAAAGTATAAATGGTTACTCCACTCTTCAAAGAGGATATGCAACTCCACATTGGACTATAGGGATAAAAGACAGGGACTATTCTGCTCCCCAAAGCCCCTGAAAACATATTGAGCATTTCTACATCTTCTTGTGCCACTGACCTTGGCTTGCACGCTGCTCGGAGCCTTTTTCCCTGGAGGAAACAACAGCAGCTTCCCACAGGTCCCCTGCTCCAGCTGCAGCCTCGTGCCTTGGTTTTCCCAGCTGGCAGCTGGAAACATTTCCAATTCCAACTTGGCAGGAGAAGCCTTGCAAGGAAAGGAAGCTCACCAGCCCCATCTAGCCCCGCGTGCTGGGGATTGCACCAGCCTCCCTCCCATTCCACATGGGAATGAGGGCTGCAGAGCCACTCACAGTGGCATAAATGCCTGGCCCTGCCAGCCTGCAGCAGCAGGCATGAGACCTTCTCCTCGTGCCAACAGATCCTTGTTCCTGACAGACACCAAATTTATGCTTTGAACTGCAGATCCTTCAACTGACAGCAGGCGACCTGGGACTTGTATGTATAATAATGTTTTATAGCCTATGAAGTGAAGTCTCTCTGTCCTCATGCAGCACTGTCCATGTCCTAAGAAATGTTGTGCTCATACTCAGCAAAACACACCCTGTGCTCACTCAAGTTGGAGATGCGATAGCTCCCTCTGCAACAAAGCAGGTGCAAAGCCACCATCAGCATCCCAAGCCCTGCGATCTGCCTCTTGTCTGAACAGCTTCAGACGCCCACAGAATTCTTGTCCTGTGATCTCTCCTGCCTACCACGAATGCTGGACAGACACGCAGCTTATGAGAGCTTTTCCATCACCACAACCCAAGTTGAGCTTCAGCCAGGTTTGAAAGACCTTCCTGGGAAAAGCGCAAATCCAAATGAACACCTTGTCCAAAACGAGCTCTTCTCAAAGGGAAAACGCGGCCAAGGAGCTTCTAATCGTCGAGGGTTAAATGGCTGGAATGAGTCCATGGCTTAATGCTCATCCCCTTCCAGGAGGTGGTGACCATGCCAGGTGCCAGCACACAGCTCCTGAGGACCCACAGGACAAAGCGGCCCTGATCCGCACGCAAGCGCCACGGCCACTCTCTGCTAGCAGGGGACTAAAGACAGACAGGGCAGAGGTGCTCCCTCCTCACACCTGCAGGCACTCACAAGTCGGTAAACAGGGAGCAGTTTGGAGATAGGGCAGAACAGTGCCTATTTAATGAAGATGGTTTAGTGATTCTGTTGGGAAGTATTGCCTTAATGTACAATTTGCATATTTTCCAAGTCATTCCCCCCTTCCCTTGGCACTCACACATGCTTACAAGCCCAAAATAATGTTAAAGGTTGTTTAGCAAATCATAGCAATTCCTTTACATTTTTTAAAGAGCACGCATGTGCAGCACAAACACAGCACATGGGCTATAAATACAACAGACGAGCAAACACCTCATTTCTAAGTCTAATGCAGGGAAAATCAGATGCAGTCGCACCTTAATGCAGTCCAGATGACACTTTGGATGCTGTATCAAGTACCAGAAGGCTTTTTTCTGCCTCTTCCACCTTAGCACAAGTCCAGAGCAAGAGCTGTAATTCGTACTAACAAATCACTTCTCCTGACTCAATCAGTGCCTTGTACAATTACAAGCAATTTCTTTCTGCAATGGTACCTGTCACCACATATACATGAATTATAACGGCCCCAATGCAATGCAATGCCACACCAGGCTGACTGGGGATGTGCAAGAAGACCACCACTATGTTACAGTGTTCAAAGCAAAAATAGCTGGCCCTTCGGAACATTTGCAAATGATTTCACTACATTATGTAAAAAAAAAAAAAAAAAGAGAAGTGCCTCAGAGCTTCAACTGCAAATTCAAAACAGCTGTTAAAATATCCTCCCTATCTCTCCTGTTGACTCACCAGCCACGTGTTTCTACCAAGGGTCACCTGCTACAAACGGCAAAGGACAAACTGAGCAGAGGTCGTGAAGCAAAGGTCACACTGGAGATTCACGGGGGTGGCAGAGCATTACTGGGGACGGAGGAGGTGGCTGGTCTGGGCACAGTTCCTTGGACAGTACTTCCTAAGCCGCTATGGGAAGCGCCCGACAACAAAAACGCGAAAAGAAATTCTGCAAAGCCAAAGATCCCCCAGAGAAACTCCAAGAAGAATCCGATAAGGTGAACGGTAAACCAAGTGAAAACATTTTAACTAGGTAGCCTTAAAATTAGACACCTCCTGCTTCCCTAAACAAGGGCCACCTCCTTCAGCCTGCAGCGCAGTCGCTGCCTGCGGCCCAGCGTCCCGCGCATCCGCGCGACACGCAGCGCACGAGCGGCGGGCGGCCCGCGCTCCAGCGGGCCGGAGACGCCACACCACGCTCTGCATTCACGCGTCACCACAGGAGTTATTAAGCTAGAGAGCCGAGGATAAACCAGCGCCATGGAGCAGACCACCTGCAAGGAGGCTGCTCTTGCCACGGCATCCCCAGGAGGTCAGGATAGGAGTGATGCTCTTTGAAAGAAGTCCACAGTTGCTAAAAATCAGTATTTCTTCAGCTGCCATATATTACTTTATGCAGGAAAATCCTTTCTTCTGCTTGCAAATGCCAAAAGCAAAACAAAACAGAATGAGAATAAACGCCTAAAGCCTCCTTCAAAGAGGTGAAGCGGCTCACGAGACGTGCTGGGAAACTGCTCAAGTGCACCGGGACTTGGGCGACATGGCTACAGGGCACTGGGGACTCCCATGGTGACATGTTGCCCTACACAGGGCCACGCTCCCTGAGGACCTTGACTGGGAGAAGCATCCGCACAAGCATCCCACAATCCAATATTACCACGAACCTACAGTAGCCCTGGAAAGCCTTTTCCCACCCAACGGGGGGATTTCTTGCAAACCCAGCAGCCCACCTCGGTCATGCAGAGGCTGGAGTACTTCCCCTTCCATTTCAGGGTTTTCAGCGAGTTGCTCAACCTTCCTTCCCAACCACGAAGGCAGAGAGGAAGGAGGTTTTGGTGGTCAGACCCCGTGTCTAACAACTGCCAAGAGCCAAGTTCAGGTCTTTTCTCCACTTCTAGCCTCCTGCGGAAGCAATGCAGGGCAACCAGCTCTCAAACCTCACACAGATTTAGCTGTGGTGGTTTTTGCGGGCGGTTTTTGCTTTAGTTAGTTTTGTTCTGAAAATGCTTTATCAACTTTCCCCATCTCCCAGATCACAGGTTGTCTCCTTTCTGTGACTCAGTTCCCCCTCTGTACTTCTTTCACAGAGCTAGATAAAGACAAGTGCATTTAGGGAAATAAAACAAAACAAGCAACAAAACCAAGA